GGTTCCTGAGATGGGGGTGGGACCTTATCAGGGCCATGGGTCACCGTTCTGGGAGTGTTTTCCAGTCTCAGCCCACAAATGGGTGATCTGGGGCTGGGTAGGACTTTGTTGTCCTCCCATGGACTTGCCGCTGACTCCACATCTCTCTCTCCTTTCCAGGCGTACGGGAGGATGGTAGTGAGCCCATAAGACCATGCTCTACACAATGACATGTTGGCTCCTGGTCCTGGTTCTCCACCTGGTCCTGCTGAGCCCCCCGCGGGTGGCAGCCTGTCCTGCCCGCTGCGAGTGTGCCCCGCAGATCAAGTCGGTGGTGTGTCACCGCAAGCGACTCACCTCCATCCCTGAGGGCATCCCCACCGAGACCAAGATCCTGGAGCTCAACAAGAACCGCATCCGCTGCCTGAACCCAGGGGACCTCTCCCCATACCCGCTGCTGGAGGAGCTGGATTTCAGTGAGAACATCATCTCCAATGTGGAGCCGGGCGCCTTCAGCAACCTCTTCAACCTGCAGACCTTGCGACTGCGGGGAAACCAGCTCAAGCTCATCCCCCCAGGAGTCTTCACCAAGCTGACCAACCTCACCCTCTTGGACATCAGTGAGAACAAACTTGTTATCCTGCTGGACTACATGTTCCAGGACCTGCGAAACCTGAAGAGCCTGGAGGTGGGTGATAACGACTTGGTGTACATCTCACAACGGGCCTTCTCGGGGCTGCTCGGCCTGGAGCAGCTGACCATCGAGAGGTGCAACCTGACCTCCATCTCAGCCGAGTCACTCTCCTACCTCCAGAACCTGGAGGTGCTGCGGCTCCGGCACCTCAGCATCTCCGCACTGGAGGACCAAAACTTCAAGAAGCTCTACAACCTCCTGCAGCTGGAGATCGACAACTGGCCATTGCTGGAAGATGTTTCCCCTACCAGCTTCCAAGGCCTGAACCTCACCTCGCTCTCCATCACATACACCAACATCACAGCCGTGCCCGCCGCTGCCTTGAGGAACCTGGTGTACCTCCGGTACCTGAACCTGTCCTACAACCCCATTAGCACTGTGCTGAAGGGCTCCTTTAAAGACCTCATCCGGCTCCAGGAGCTCCACATCGTGGGTGCTCTCTTGGTGTCCGTGGAGCCACAGGCTTTCTCTGGCCTGAGACAAATCAGGCTGCTCAACCTCTCCAGCAACTTTCTCTCCACGCTGGAGGAGAGCACCTTCCATTCCGTCAACACGCTGGAGACCTTGCGGGTGGATAGGAACCCCCTGGCCTGCGACTGCCGCCTTCTCTGGATCCTGCAGAGAAGGAAGACGCTCAACTTTGATGGGCAGCAGCCCATGTGCTCCTCACCACCCGAAATCCAGGGCAATGCCCTGCGTGACTTCCCGGACTCTGTGCTCTTCGAGTACTTCACCTGCCAGAAGCCCAAGATAAAGGATCGGAAGCTGCAGCACGTGACAGCCCGGGAAGGACAGTCCGTGTCCTTCCTTTGCCGGGCAGACGGGGAGCCAGACCCCTCCATCGCCTGGGTGTCCCCCCAGCATCGCATGATCACCACCCGCAGCACGGGGAGGGTGACTGTGCTGCCCGGGGGGACCCTGGAGATCCGCTTTGCCCAGGTGCAGGACAGTGGCACCTACATCTGCATCGCCAGCAACGCGGGGGGCAACGACACCTACTTTGCCACCTTGACGGTCAGGGGGCGGCTGGCCGATGGCTCCCACTATGCCAACCGGACTTTGTACCTCAGCGAGTTCAACGACACCTCCCACAACGACACGCAAGTCTTCTTGAAGTTTACGTTGGACCTCAAGACCATCTTGGTCTCTACAGCCATGGGCTGCATCACCTTCCTGGGCGTGGTGCTCTTCTGCTTCCTCCTCCTCTTCGTCTGGAGCCGGGGCCGGGGGCAACACAAGAACAACTTCTCGGTGGAGTACTCCTTCCGCAAAGTGGATGGTCCCACCACCACCACCGGCCAAGGAGGAGCCAGGAAGTTCAACATGAAGATGATCTGAGCCTCCCCCAGAGAAGAACTGTTGTCTGCTGCCCAGCCCCGGGCCTGGCTGTGATGGGATGGGGCCGGGGGGGGGTTGTGGAGCACCAGAGACATCCCAGGGCTGGGGACATCCCAGGGCTGGTGGTGTGACCTCGCTGTGCTGGGACACGGCGGGAGACGTGCCAGAAGCCAGCGGGGTGGGCACCACATGGACCTTCAGGGTCGGGAAGCGATGACCTTGGCCCTTGGGGCACAATGGCTCAGGAGCTGTCCCAGTTCCAGGGGCTCCTGATGTAGCCAACATTTTTGCTACCAACTATGCATTTCTCCAGCCAGGAGATCAGCAG